ATTTCATTCGTTAATTTCCTTCATTAAATTTTTCCTTTTTTAAATTTTTTAAATTTTAATTTTAAATTTTTAAAATTTTTTAAATTTAAATTTTAAATTTTTTTAATTTTTAAATTTAAATTTTAAATTTTTTTAATTTTTAAATTTAAATTTTAAATTTTTTTAATTTTTAAGAGAATTTGTATTTTTGTTTGAATTTTAATCATATTATTTAATGCATATAGGTGTTCACATCCCACTATATACACAACATTCTCTTACTCAGGCTCAAGCTCGGTTTAAGGTGGAGGGGGCTGGTTGTCTGGGCTAACAGTATTCTCTTTTTTTTTTTTTTTTACAGTGTGTTCGTTACCTTTTGTAAGTAATCCACAATTTATCTTTATTTAATCCGCAATCACAATGTAAAAAGCGTGTTGTCAACTAAAGAACAAATAGTGACATAAACCACGTTCAAGATGAACTTAGGAGCCGACACATATGGTAATAACAATTCTTGTTCGAGGCTTTTTATTTGAACATGTGGAAATAATGCATTCAAACCTAATTATTGTCTCGAGGTAATAAAAATCTCTAAGTATGACAATTGAGTGTGATGAATTTTAAGATATGTATGTCAGTTAATGAAATGAAAACTGTATCTAATGTTCTGCGAACATATTTTACATTTTTCATTTCATTCTTTCGTAACATTGAATTTTTGTAATCATACGATATTAATGTTACTAATTGATATGTAATTGAGAATACTTAGACCAAAACTTCTGTCTTTTTGCAATTCATACACAAGTTTAGCATTTGATGAGCTGCTCTGCCCTTTTTTTTTCTTTTTTCTAACTATTCTCAAATCAAACGCGGATAATTACTTACATTTGTTTCAATTTTTCAATTTTGTCTATTCATGGAAAAATCAGTTGTCCATAATTTGGACAATGACTGGACTGAAATCTCGGTAATTATTTTTAATTTTTTTTAAATCTAAGTTAATTTATATATTTTTAATTTATTAATATTTCTTTAATTAATTAATGTTATTTTAATTTAAATTATTTTTAATTTTAAGCAGGTAAAGGTAGAGCTTGTACAGCGTCCAGAGGAGAAACGAGCGAAGTACGAAAAAGGTTCTTCCTCTACTGCTCGTGAAGAAAATTACGAGCAATAATTGGTTCATGAACCGCCGATTCGACAAGTCTTGCTACAATTGTAATAGTATTTAAATATTTTTTACAATTACTTTAAATTACGTTGATGTAGACTCGGTCATATTTGTTAATGAAGCTTCGTTTCTTTTCGATGTACATTCTCTCGATATCTCAAAATTTAAAACTATAGGAGAAAAGAAAAATAGAAGAAAGAAGAGGAATATTCGTAATCACTGTTACGGCTAGAGCGATTCCTGATTTTCGTAGTGCAGTATATAAACATT